AGCAATCTGGTTCCTTGTTAGCATGATACCAAGAATAACAAACACATCCTGTGTTCAGCCAAAGAATTATCTTCAATAAAATCTAATAAATTGTAAAGTCAACCCAGTTTTTGAGTCAATAATGAGTACCACTTGATGCTCACATTACAACAATGTTTCCACTTTGCCTCATACACCAGCAGCTTCTAGAAGGGGAGATAACTTATCAATGTCATTTCAAAATTAACCTTTCAATTAATATCATGGTAATAATCCAATTCTACAAGACCATCATTTAGTTCCTTAGGGGTCCGATCCCATCATCTCTATCACGCAAAATCCTTTTGGCAACAGACATGAGATATTTACAGACAATACTACGGGCATCGTGTTGAACAAATTTCCCCTGATCCTAAACCAACATAATCATATAATCTCAGATTTACTTTGTTCAAGGAATGATTACACTAACAAACAGAGGAAGTTGACCATCAGCTTCAGAAATGTTATACCAGATAATAAACAGATGGCTCTTTCATTGCTGGGAATCAAGTTCTGATCAATATTCATTGTTTTCCAACGTAACAAAAGAACTTAGTAATTTGCTTTGCTGTCCATTGTTCTGGAGCTCATTGTTAGAATCACTGGTTGCTCAGCAGAAAAGACTTTGCCATGTTTGTTCTCAATGTTTGTTGATTGATTGAAGCAAGGAAGTGATGGCATTCTTATACCATTTGTAATTGTAACATGTTGTTATTTAAACAGTAAAATATATGGATTAAACTTTGCCTAATGTCCTATCAAAAGTTAAAGGTACCAAATTGTCTGAAGTCCATTGTCACAAGAAGATCACTGAAAGAGAGGGAGATTGAGAGAGGGAGAGAGAACTGTTGTGTCCCTTTAAAGCACGTACTTGACCACTTTGGGTAGGGTGATGATGCATCCAGAAACATAATCGGGGGCTCCATTCACAAAGCACTAAGGTCATCGCAAGTCACTAAGGTCATCGTAAGTCACTAAGGTAACCTTAGTTAAATGTTGAAGAATGGGAATTAAGGATAACCTTAGTCAAGGTTGCTTTGTGAAAGGAGACCCAGGGCTACTGTTGATTTTAAGCCATAATCATAATGTTTGGTATACCAAGGGGAATCAAATGTACAGAATACATTGTGGCACCCAAGCAAACCCAGTCCCATGTATCCCAACCAATGACACCCATTACTGGCAAACAGTTTGAAACAAGAGTTGTACTTGTCACAATGAAGCCCACATTGTTGCTCATAATGTCCGCCACTCAGACTTGGCTGAACAAGATTTCAGTGTTTACAGGTTGTGATAAACTTGGAATAGTGTTGATATATATAATATACTTCGGACATATATTTAACAATATTGGAGATACTTTATAAACTTTTGTGCACACTCCAAATATTTATCTGAAAAATATTCATGTTCCTTAACTTTTTGAGTTCAGTATTAATAACACGATACACAATATACTGATGAGATGTTGCTTTATGTTGAACGTCTTGCCTTCATCAACCTTGTTCACTAATGAACACAAGTAACCATCGCCTCCTATTACAGTACCATCAGCACTGACCCAGATCAGCATTCTATACATATTGTGTTCCTATTAGCAACATCTTATCTTCATAAACCATCATTATCCATGGAGAAAGTGTTCTACTATGCCATTATGGAGAAGTATGTACTAGTCTAACCATGTCACAGATGTCATTTGATAATCATCCGACACATGATAGATAAACTTACTCCAAAGTTTAGGTTGCTGAAGAAAAACCCGAAGCCAGATATTCATGGAACAAAAGTGTTTGTCCAGGAAGACAAGGTCAACAATGATCCATAAATACAAATGGCTACAAATAACTAGAGAAAATGATAACATTCACAGAAGTTTTCCTTACAGGAAAATACTGTCCCAAAACGACCAACAGCTGTTTGATTGATCAAAACAATGCTTACAATAATTCAATTACTTGCTTCGAGCAGAAAAACTATAAAGTTATCTCAGGCCATGTTTGACAAAGGAATCACATTCATTACAATCAATTTCTTTAGACCTGTGTACTGACTGTTTAAACAGTGTGACCCAAACCCTCCACACAAACAGATCTGCAAATTACACGGAAAGTGTACCAGGTCATATGTTTTTGCCCACCATCCAGTCAAAGACAAATATTGTGTGTATTTGTATCTTTGTCTTTTAGATTATTATGGTTTGGTTTCAAGAAAGATTTGCCATTAAGCCTATGAAATCAAACCTTTTTATACCTGCGACAAACAAAACATCTACAAGTTGTGTTTGTCAATCAGGTGCTCTGTCCCAGTTGTCTGTGTGGATCTCAGTGTTTAGGCTTTGCTGTGGAAATGTACTTCTACAAAACATTATGCCTCAATTTGGCTAACACACTGAAACACTGAAACTTAGCCACTGCATGCACATAGATACATACTGAGACAAATTAATGTTTTTGAGCAGATATTGGTCAACTCATTTTACAATTTTTTAACAATATTTTGCTCCTAAGTTACAGATTCATGAATAATAATAAATAAAATATGTTTAGATGTTGAATGATAGACATGGAAACAAAGACCATATTATACACAAAATGAAAAACAAACCCTTCACATGAATTTATGCCTAGTGTTTTTTCAGAGGTAATTAACAAGCTTAACTCAAAACCTGCTCCAGCTCCTTGAAGTACTTCAACTGCATGACCGAGCAGAACACTGTCTCATTAGTTTTCAAAGATGTTAAATTTTCCAAAAATCGAATTTAGCTGATTCAAATTTCCAAATACACATGTGGCCTAACACTTCCGGCATTCTGCTCACATTTAGAAATAAAACTGGGAGCTATTCTGATTGCAATTTTGATTAGTGATTTAAAGCCCCTTGAAGAGGATAGCAAGGCATTCATGAATCAGGTGTGAGACTCTTTTCATCCCAAACCCATCTCACAGCGATCACAACTACTGCAACAGGTGATTTTCTGTGTACACAGGTGGCCCTATATTTTTTGTTCAATAGCATATAATCCACATCGTCTAGGGGATTGAGGGGCCGGGAACGTTCACTTTTATTAAAATTTGTATGATAACAGGTTATTTTTGCTCTGGTACACAGTATTCATTAAAAGTTAGTTTATCAGATTATACTATCATCAGTAAGTGTAGCCAACAATGTCTCGTATGTTCACTTATCGTTAATGGGAACTAGAATGGTGACTCAAGGACAGAACTATCTACCTGACAACCATTCTTCTGAGAGTTCATCGCAGCAGTTAGCCTCTAATGTCTAGATTAGCTGCAGCAGCATAACATACCTAAGTTAATTAATTTTGTCGTACTCACATCCATTACAGCTCCACAGCTAATTTCACACAATGTGAGTATCTTCCAAGGAGTTGAAACATTGCTACATCAGTTAACAGACACATTCACTTTCTCATTACTTAGCAGCCACATAATGGTGCAACATCATACCTGGCAGGGCTAACACAACAAACAGTAATATAGTGATGGAGTTTGGAAGTGTGTGTGAAACACAACAATCATGAGATCCGAGGGACATCAAAGACGTTCTCATCTGTTTGCCTACAGTAATGTTGCTTCTAGTGTGATGAGCAACAATCTATAATTCATGGGGACATTGCAATGAATTCAAATGTGTAGATTTCCATGTTGATGGCCAGACAAAAATGTGACAATCTCATGTTGGGACTTAAAAGCATTGAAATCAGGTTGACTTTATGGCGGACTAATGACAACAACTGCAGTTGCTGTTGTCCTTATCACAATGTATACTAATACTTTTTGTAAGTCCTGGGTTTTTTCTCTCATAACTTTAATTTAGCCAAAGTGAACTGTTAAACGCACTGATTTCTCACTTTTGATACCCTTGAAAATGGAGAACAGATAAAGGACTCTTTTATAAAAGTTTAAATGAATTTTCAGAAAAATATCTCATCCTGACACAAACAGTATTACATTAAAATCATCCAACCATGAACACAGTTAAGTTGTTGTCTCACAGATGACAGACGTCTGACAAAATAATACCCAATCAACAGCTACCCAGTCCCAACATCTGAAAGTTTCACAACTCATCCATCATAACAAGTGACAGAGCATTGCTAGCCATCCCCCCTCCCTCCCCATCATTCACAGGTGACATCAAGCATGACCAGGGGGTTACTATTTCACCTTGACATTGTGAACCAAGGTCAGCAGGTAAACATGTCAGTTTTGATGTTATGATGCATCATCTGTGTCAGAGAACAACACTAAACTGGAGCTTGGATTCACCTGCTGCAAGCCCTCAGATCATTAAATAGCATGCATATTGACCTGACCTCGACACAAAACGCATGGGCTGGACAAATCAGGCACACTGATATCAAATATCAAAATAGTCAAAGGGAGATAGTATCCGACATTATGTAAAACAAGAGATGCTGTTTACTGTTTGTGAAAGTAGTTGTATTCATGCAGTACCTACCATACGCTTGAAGCCAGTGGGATTGACTCCCTGCTAGTATAACCATGTCCGAGGCCACATATTCTCCACATCTGTCATTCAGATACTCCTCCAACTACAGACATGCCTCTCTGTCCTAAATCAAAAGGGAGGGCGCCCCCAAGCTAATACCACAATATTTACTAAGTCTGCAGATGGCATGGTTTTGACAACAGAGAGAGTCTTCGGTAAGCCTATGGGCTGAGTAAGGGGATTGTGTGGAAGCAAGGATTGAAAATGTTCACAGTTACCCCCTCGCAGGTGAGCAAAGCAGCCGTGTGTAGGAGTTCTCACTCCAACATCCCTATCCTCCCCCCCCTAAGTACTGACCTTATCAGTTGAAGGCCAAACCTTCCATAAAGTGGTTGAGCCCTACAAAGCTGGCACTGGCAACCTCAACTGCCCCACCTCTCAATAACATTACTCCCCAACCTAATACATTAGTCAGAAAGTATAAAAGTGTAAAGAGAAAATACCTTTGGATCCTGGGCTGATACTTTAGCCTGCACATGTTCTGGGCTCTCGGTAGTTTCATTAACAGTTTGAGTTGGTGCAGGGGTGGGGGTGGGAGATGTAGTTTCTGTCGTAGTTGGTGCAGGTTTTTCCAAGGATGTTTCAACAGGTTTAACAACAGTTGAAGTCTTACAGGTAGCACTTTCAGGAGCTTCAATTTTATCATCCACTGTTCCAGTTGTCTCTGGGGGAGCAGACTGGGCAGCAGGAGCCTCCGAACTAGGCCCTAAGTTGTTGCCGTCTGCTTCCGTATCATCCCCTCCCACCAACTCATTCTTCAGCTTACGTAATTTGTTACCCATTGCACAATTTGGAAGATAGGATAAATCCCTCCTAGGAATGCACAAAAACACACAAACACATACACTAACTAGCTACAGAACAGTACATCCCAAACTATATCTCAATTGAATGTTATCCACATGTCGATGTCTGCTATGAAATCCAATTGTTCACCAGGGCTATGACAAGAGAGAGTAATGTCCAACTGGACCACGCTGGGGACAGTGCTGGATCAGACCAGAGGAATACTGGAGTCCACGATAAGGTAATGGCCTGAATAATTAATGAAGCGGGCGGTCTCTCCGACTCTCACAAATATGACCGTGGTTATCCAAGTAAGGAAGACAACTCGGTGCAGCAATAACAAGCTGGAGTCCACAGAAATCAATAGCTACCCGTCAAGTTGCAGATTTGGATGTTAACGGGAATCACATGCAATTAAATTCGACTGGATCAGCTTGCTGAGGTAGGATCATTCATAGTGAGAGCATAGTATCATTGTCCATCTCGCCTCACTTTCCAATCCTCCACCACCACAACAAGCAACCTACTGCGAGCACGATGAGAGTGAGACAGAAAGTTTCACAGTATATTGGATGAGGAGTTGACAACACTGTCTCATGCCTCAGCGACTCCAGTGTAGGCAGGTCACACAGAGCGATGACAACACCGCTACAAGCTGTTGAACATCACTGGGGGAGGCAGTGTGATTCATCATATCTTGTACTACTCTGATAATCATTACAGCCAATCAAATCTAAAATATGCAATTATTAACCGTGGGCATTAGGCTGAGGTATTCAGACAGTTTTGCTGAGGAAGCGTTACATTGCTATTGCATGGCACTGAGAAGAGTACTAATAGGTTGTAAGAAGCAAGAGATTTAATGCCTCAGCAAACTTGAATTGAAAGAATGTTGGTCTGAATGTTCGGACAGCTTAGTCCAACTTCTTTTGAATAAACAATTTTGTAGAAGTATTCATTGACTGGCTCACAACTACAAAGCCTCTGTAATGAATACAGTTCTGGGATTTTGCACAAAATAAGAGTACTCTTTGTTCAGTCCAGTTTATCAAAAGTACAATACTTTTCTCACCTATCAGAACAAGTTAAATTTATAAACATGAAACAAATTGACCGAGTTTACTATCCCAATGTTCACCACGTATTTATTAGCAGTTCCCAGACAACAAAGTCATGCTATACACATAATTGGATTAACAAAATTAAATAATGTTGATAAGAGGTCACAATCAACAGACAGCAACTCCCTAAAGACAATGCGTAACTTATTGCTGACAATCATGCTTAAGAACACAACACAATTATGAAGCTTTGCGGCTTTCTTGAGAGAAAAACAAGTTGATGAGGTTGCTCAGCTTGACGATCCAAGCCTTATAATTACATTTTCCTAAGAACTATATGTTTTAAACTTTCACGCTCTAAGCTCCAGCTGGGGTGACCTTGTTGGTTTTTCTTTCTTTTTTCATATTTCTTAATTTCACCTTCAGCTCCAACTCGCTTACACATTATTCACTACACAACGGAACATGATCAAGATAACAGTAATCTACAGTAGACACAGTAGCAGTGAGAGAGATTTACAGCATATATTACCATGCAGAGGGACAAACAGCAAGTCCATTTAAATAACCCAAACTGCTGAGCTGTTCAAAGTGAAAATGATTGTATCACCCAGGAGAGATGAGCTATTGATGTTTAGCAATTATCTCGATAATAAAAGTTAAATGCAATAACTGTATTACTGACAGTTGCTAATGGTCCACTTCGTCACACAGAGAAACCCATAAACTGCAACATCCATCTGTCTATTCCCTGACGGTTAGAGGCACCAGATCGCATTGTGTTGCCAAGGCTGATATCTCTCACTAATAGAGAATGACACATCCTACAGTCAAACAATAGGATGCCAAATGATGGGGAATAAAGGCACAAGAAGACCTGCTTTCTTTATATCATACTGTGGAAGAATGTTTTTCACCTTTCAATCCTGTACCAATTTTTTTATCACATGGTCATGAATTGGACAAGAACACAAAAATATTAAGACACAAGTGTTTTGTATTGATATTTGACATGTTTAGAACAAATGTTTGTTGGTATTTTGTTACTCTTTGTTTCAAATTTCGGCTGAGAATATGAATCTCAGTGAAGCCTGAAGACATTCTCTGTGTCTGAATCTGCCAAGAAACCTATCAAACTACAATCAGAAAGAGACTTCATGAACAAGGTGTGCTTTATGCTGCTTTTAGCAATATTCCTGACATATCACAGCTGCCACACAAGAATCAGATGTTACAAAACTACCCATAACTAAAATCGAACACATCCCTATGTCCTAATGAGTGACTTAACCTCTGCGCTAACTATGCATCTTTACATGAAATGAAAAGAATCAATGCTAAAATATAACTATTATACTTCAGACAAAACTGAGATAGGTTTGTTCATATAGAGTGTGTGAGAGGCAGAATGAGCTGGATTTAAATGCCAGTTTGGACAGAATTTACATAACAGTGATAGTTATGGAGCGGCAGCTTAGCATGGACTGACTGACTGACTGAGTTTTAGTTTTACGCCGCTTTTAGCAATATTCCAGCAATATCACGGCGGGGGACACCAGAAATGGGCTTAACACATTGTGCCCATGGGGGGAATCGAACCCGGGTCTTCGGCGTGACGACCCAACGCTTTAACTACTAGGCTACCCCACCGCCCCACTTAGCATGGAAATGCTAAAGTTGTGTTCATCACAGACATTTATCGTCTTGGTGAAACCCATGAGCGTGGGCATGCTGTCAAACTCAGGACAAACCAAGGTTCAAACCAACTGCACCTTTGACTTCTGAGCCAACTATGGAAATCGATTCACATAAAAGTGTTTTAACTACTGAAAACAAAGTAAACCTATGAGCAATAAACTTAGAATAATAATACTTCCTTAGCACATGCACACATGCTATTCCCCCTGGAGAGGAACTGGGAATATTCATTGTGTGTAGGGCTCTAAGATGACAGTCGGCCAACATACAGCATACAGGTTTGACTAGAAAACTGCTCCTTATCCAGACTGATTAGCATGTTAATGCTGGCAACAACAGCTGACATTTCAGCACAATGAACATATTTAAAACACTATTAAACAAGATAATTTATCTTAACTACCAACATGCATCACTTCTAATGATGACTTATCACCCTAACGATTATTTTCGTCTTTAAGCAAAAGAATCACAACTTAAATCTTTGTTCCCTTCAATAGAAAATGGTTGGTTGCTTGGCAGGTATTATCACTTATGTGTATTTTATGAAAGAAATTCTAAAGATTTGACCACAGCTGTAAAACAAACACACTACCTGAATACACTCTAGAACAACATGAATAATAGAAGCAGTATCTACAGAGAATAAACAATAGCATATTATTGTACTTTCAGGAGTGCAGGGATATTGATTCCGATGTTCAGCATATTGATATTTGATGAGTCTTCTTGTATATTGACTCACAATGTAAGATTCTGTTGAAACAAATAGTGAGGACCTCCATTATTTGCTGAGAGCCCAGTCCCGGATCCCAATAGTTTCTCTGCAATTTTTTTTTCACACGTTATCCTCATTTACCTTCCCGATTGCGTTCAGAGGTAGAACACGCCCCCCAGTACCGCCATGCTTGCTGTAGGAGCTATCTATTCATTCCTAATGGGGATTGGGTGGTTACAATGTGTGACCTGGCTGACTGTTGACTATAGCTGTTACACGCCAGAAAGCCTGACTCACATACACTAACTGCAAGTTACAATAACAAGCATTACAGATTCACTGAACATGGCATAAAACAAGACTCACTCACAATCTCCTTTCACTCACTAGTGTTGGGAATTGGTTATAATCTCATAATTGATGATTGGTCCATTACAACCGATCAATCATCGAAAATAATTGGTTAGCCTCATTTATCAAATGTTCCTGTTGTCTTTGTAAAAAATAAAGAAAAAACATGTAGTAAGTTGTTTGTTTTTTTGCAAATTAAACAAAATCCATTTGCAAATTTTGCATATTTAAAGGATTATTAGTATGTTAGGAACACAGATTTCCTGGATTCTTTAAGATAAATTCAATCATGACTTGGAACGAGCTTGTTGTGCTTATGAAATGTAAATTTAATGACACAGACAAAAGCAACCTTGTGAAAAATATTGTTGAAAGCAAACAAGTGTTCCAAGATTGGTTGCATTCGATTATGAGAAAACATGTTCGATTGCTTGGTCGTTTAGTCACTGCGACCAATCTTCGATTATTTTAATTAATCGGACCACCACTATCACTCACACACTTGGCAGGTGTAACAGCCCATCACTGTTATGCAACTTTATAATAATCCTGCTAATATCACAAGCTTATATAATCAGTATTTGTCAAAATGTGATTAAAGTTCATTCACTGTTGACTGACCAAGGACATGGTTTTAAAAGTCTGTCATCATCTATTTAGTTACAGGTCTGATTTAAGACACATGCTTCACTTCACTAACATGTACCAAGGCAGTTTACTTTACAGACTAAACAGGATTATGGAGCACGACACACATGGTGAATAACCTGCCATGGTATAAAGCCTGTATCAAACAGGCACCAGACAATGCATAAGTGGTAATGCAAATGTGTTCACTGTCTGCTGACCACTAATACCATTCCCAGCCAGCCCCCTCCGGCATTATGACTCTGTATCATATCTGATGTGATCGCTACACATCACCCTGCCACATAGGCTGTGATGCAACACAATGAAGACTACTCAAACAACAACACTCAGTATCTGAAGGCTGTATGTGGTAATATCATTGGTTTGTTGGTTTGTTGTTTAATGCCGCACTGAGCAATATTCTAGATACGTGGCGGCAGTCTGCAAACAATCGAATCTCGATCAAACAATCCAGTGATCATCAGCATGAGCATCGATCTACGCAATTGGGAGCCGATGACATGTGACAACCCAGTCAGCGAGCCTAACCGCCCGATCCCGTTAGTCGCCTCTTACGACAAGCATGTGTTACTGAAGGTTCATTGTAACCTGGACCTTCAAGGGTCTGAGCTTTCAAGACTAATGGGGATCCACAGACTAAACTAACAAAATAAACCAATGAAACTCCAGCATTCTGAACACTATTTTGTGAGTAAGCAAACATGTTCAAATCTAAGACGGATATATCATTGGTATTCACAACAGAAAGAAAGGGCTTGCTCTATTCATGTTTTCACCAAATTCGTAAACTGAGGATTAATTTTGCTTCCTCCTATATTTAAATTTTGGGTACCATACGTATAGATATGTTGTATGTTCAAAAGATGCACTCTTGCACACAACCATCTTTGAGCCACACTTTTCCATGAACCAATGTTACAAGTCAAAATGTATGTGATCTAAAATACCATCTCCATGGTATCAGGAATCTATACATCAGATATTTAGCTTCAGTTAGTCACTGATGATGAAAAGTCCAATGTAAATGATTCATTTCTCAAGGGTTTATCTTAGATCTACGCAAATGTTGCCTATTCCAATTACTGATCATGCAGACATAATAGTCATTAGTAGATATTAAAACTTGAAGAAAATAAAGCTTCATAAACTTCTCCTACCAAATAAAGATCATATTCCAACAGCTACTCTGAAACAACAGCTATAAGTACTCAGACTGTATCACATTCATCCATCCAATGAGCAGAGAAAGAAATGGTCTTTAACAGATGGTGGAATCATTGGCCAGGACAAAACATTTTAACAGTGTCATATGGCCATCCTGGCTCAGAATAGGATCCCAGTAGTCCTTGTTCTTTGAAGACAGGCCACAAATATGGATCTGGTGGACAAAATGGTTGTTGATTGGAGGCCATGCCAGAATAAACCCACTTTCAGCTGCCCACTACAAGAACTGCAGTGTGTAGGAACAGTCAGTGTGGTGTAAAGCAGAGCACTTACATTTTACTGTCTGTGTCTAAGATGAGCAACAGGTGCTTGAAGTGCTGCATTGCATGTTACATGTCAAAAGAAGGGAATCAGAACACACTTCATGAGAAGATGAGTTACAGGTGACAATTCTTTACAGAACATAGCTATGTGCCATTATGCACCTGACTTTGTGTGTGCCCACATCTCAGCTGTTTGTGTGCCCACATCTGCTTGAATTTTAGGTGCCCACATCTGACTTTGTGTGTGCCCACATCTACCTGGCTGTGTGTGTGTGTGCCCACATCCACCTGTGTGTCCCCACATCTACCTCTGTGTGTGTGTGCCCAGATCTACCTGTGTGTGTGTGCCCACATCTACCTGTATATGTACCCACATCTACCTGTGTGTGTGCCCACACCTACACATCTTCTTGATGCAATGAAAAACCTACCTAACCAGAGCATCAGAAAATCATGTATTTTTAAATCCAGCCACACTCCGCTGAAAGACAAATCTCTTTGCTCCGTGACTGAGAACACTGTGGTATGGCGAAACAGCTTCGTGTCTATGAAATGTCCAAATATATTCAAAGACATGTAACACTGCAGGCGACCTCATAACGCTTCCAAATGACAGAATGCAGTAGATCATTTGATATATAGCTGCAGTTAATGGCGGGCTTTCCGATTCATCACAGAAGTTGTTGAGGGAACCAAGAGAAGTTAGTTTATGCAGGTGGCTGTAAGGCTACATCACTACTCACCTGTGGCAGCCACTTAAAGCTCCGTGTGGCAACCCAGTCATTCACGTAAGAGGGATGAATGAGAACTACACTTAAAGATGCTGACACGGTGAAATTCATATGTACAACATTGTTAACAGTTTCATCTTTCATCAGAGTATAACATAAATGGGGTTATGTTCATTTATTATTTATGAAACACATAGACATATCTGCTGAAACATGTTGACAACAGAGAGACAAAACACCATGAAGTGCAGACATTTTAATGTAATTTCTACATCCTGTGTTAAACTGACACAGACAAAACACCTCACAATCCATGTCAGGTCCCCAATTCCAGTATTTATCCTCAACAATAACTGCTCCTGGCAAAATAACAAGAATCACTAGTGATGTTGTAAGTCTAGACAAAGTCACCTGACAACCGAGGCTTCTTGTTGTATTATTCCATCATGTATAAATGACTAAGCCATACATGCCTCTCTGCAATATCTCGACAAACACAATGGTAAATTGGCCCAGTAATGCAATCTACAAGCCATTTATGCATCTATCAGAAGTCAGCCCTGCCCTAAATCAAATCATTTCCATGGCGGCATCATGCAAGGCGTCAAGTCCTTACATCCTACACAATGGTGGCACCTCTCACGGAATCAAGCCTTTGGATCCGTCCAGAAAATCAAATAAGATAAAGTCTTAACTCTGCGCTGTGCAGCAAGTGTCAATATTTATAAAGGAAAGATGATTTTGAACTGGTCAGGAATAACCTGCTCTCAATCAGATTTTAAAATGTGTCCAATATGTCTGAGAACAATGATTGAGTGTCTCCGCAATCATACTAATTGGGGATTAATTGACATCAAGCGAGATCTGGGTCTCTGAGAGGGCAGCTCACTTTTAGAGACAGCTGAACAGTAAATCAGGCAGGATCTCCATGGAGACAAAGGACAAATCTAATCTAGTTAGAAAATCCATCATATGAATCAAACTTTAATTGGTGTCTTGATCTATTAGTCAGAATATGTTCAAAGTGAAAGCAGTGTATAGAGATCTCTCTATTTCCCAAAGGGCACAGTTGGAAGTGGGATATCAATTATGGTCTCGGTTATGCATAGTTTGACTTCTAGTTCCTGTGTTTGGACTAACTAATGAAGTGACACCGATGTACCATATTTCCTCTAATAAGTGCCAGGGGTAAAGCAGCTAACTAACAATTACGGTAATTAGACCCAGTAAGGGCAAAAGCACTGGGCCTCTAATAAGCGCCGGGTCTGGAACTCCGTTGAAAAAATAATTATTAGACGAAATACGGTATCACATCTTATCAGAGTATTAGCTATTACTGGTAAATGAAATTGGCCCCATCCATGATAGGACCATAGGTTGACTTAGCTCATCTCACTAAAATTTTCAGGAAACAAATGTTTCTAGATTTTTCAAGCAAATTTCTTACAAATCAATCCAAAGAGGTTGGGTACTCTGTAATTCCCTGGAACTTCTAAGTTATTCTATAAGAATTAGACAGGTAGCTGCCAATAGGAAATCTGTGTTGTCACTTTCTCCATAGAACAATATAAAATAGAATTTAAACAATTTCATTGTCCTGAAACCCCCAAACAAATAATTGATTGCCAGTTCCACAGCCTCCCAAGTCCCATAACAATAAATAGAATAATTCCCTATGTGTAATAATAACACTGGCGTCAGCCGCCACACTGATGACAATCCTCGAAGTCATACTGCATGTGATGCTCCGTCTACAACAATAACTACAACAAAACATGCATTCATTCAAATTTCCTAAAAAATCATTCAATTGACAGGACATATTTTCTTACATTTTTAAATAAATTGATCGTTTGAGAGGAAAGGCATGTTTCCAAGATCAGATGCACATTATATTTGTTGGAGTAGAAAATCTTTGAATGTAAAAGTTATAGTTAATGCCTCCTGTTTGACATATTCCAGTGAAAACAGGAAAGGCAAATCATACTTGCTGGTTTAGAAGGACAATGTCACGTGGAGTGTTCAACTCAGTTATCGATTGGCTCATCTTTAAATCATTAAATTCAGACACACTGGGATAAGTGTCTATCTTGGGAGGAACAATTCAATGTAATAAAAAATTGTTTGATTTATTACTGTTTTTCCTAAAGATGTCTGAGTATTGGTAAAAATTTTATCCAACATTGACATGAGACATATGAACAAGAAAAGAACAGTAATTTTGATCAGGAAAACCAACACAACTTCAAACTTCGACTAGATGCATAATTCTGAATTTCTCCCTGAGGCCATTAAGGTGAGCATGCAGTATGTCACCATAGTATTTGCAAATTCCTATAACCTAGCAACTACATAAACAATATGCATGCCACTTTCAGTAACATAAGAGTGCCTTGCAGCTAGTCGTTTTTTGTAAAAATATACTTTTCAACATATGTTCCCAAGAAACTTGAAAAATGTCAATAATCCAAAACATAAAAAAAATATGTTTTGTTAAACCAAAGCCATTCATTTCTATGGCAACCATGTGCTGACAAAGAAGAAACATTGTTTTTCTGCTCTGATTCAAAGAAATTCCTAAAGTAATAATTGCCTATGGAAAAAGATGAATTGTGAAGTTTTGAAGGCATGTTAACATTCACTATTCTGATGAGGTGAGTTTGGAGTGTAAAGCCACTTTCTACAGTATTCCAGTTACATCATGACTTGTCACCTTGATGAGGGAGCAAACACCTTAGTGACCATTATCAGGGGGCAGCCTGACAGATCTGACACTTCCATCACACCCCAACACCCAGTACCAAGAGCTGTGACAGATACATTCGTTATATCCCAGCTATATGGCAGCAGTCTGCAAATAATTGAGTCTGGACCAGACAATCCATTGAACAACAGCATGAGTATCAAGCTACACAACTGGGATACGTTTCACAAAGCTCTTGTAGTGCTATGACTGTCGAAAGTCAATGTTACAGTATAGGAAGTACGAATGCTACGAGAAATGTTACGACTGACTGACTGACTGACTGAGTTTGGTTTTACGCCGCTTTTAGCAATATTCCAGCAACATCATGGCGGGGAACACCAGAAATTGGCTTCACACATTGCACCCATGTGGGGATTCGAACCCGGGTCTTCGGCGTGACGAGTCAACGCTTTAACCATTAGGCTACCCCACCGCCCCAGAAATGTTACGAGATGTTAGGCTTACGAGAGCTTTGTGAAACGGGACCCAGATCCTATTCGTCACCTCTTACGACAAGTATGGGTTAATGAAAACCAAATCTAACCCTGATCTTCATGGGTACTGATACATTAGTGATATCATTACTACAATCACATGCTGACGAATGATCACTGGTTCCTCTGTACAGCATGGAACTTAA